AAAAAAAAAAAAAAAAAAGTCCTTCACAGTAAAAAACGGCCACTTAGGGAGATTCATCCGTGACCAGATTCATTCTGGAATATGGCAGTTACAAAGGACTTTGATTTTCTTTGATTTTTGCAGAGAAAATCAAAGAAAATCAAGGTCTCTTGCAACCAGAATAAAACGGAACACATGCATGAGGAGAAACACATGTTTTAGGTGCGTCCGGAGCCAAAATCGAGGCCGGATGCACTTGGTAATTGACCGTTTCTTTTTCTTTTGAATAAGGGCTAGTTGTGGGGCATTAGGGTTAAGGAATTGACCCCCATTGCAGTCCGAGTTGTAACGGACTGCATGGGGGAGAGAAAACACATGTTCTAAGTGCATCCGGAGTCGATATTGAGCCCGGATGCACTAGAAAATTTAACGCTTTATTTTCTTTTAACCTGGGGCAAGTTGTGGGGCTGTGGGTGTAGAAAACAACCATGACTGCAGTCCGAGAAATAAGGGACTGCATCGGGATGCCAAAGCCAAAGCGGAATGGGCTACGGCAAACCCGGAAGGCTGGAAAGGAGCAATTTCGGCAAGGGGATAAGTAAAGACGGTAAACGGCAACCATGAGATGAGATCTCACGGCCTAGAAAAATCGGCACACATGTAGAAATGATGGGACCACCAAGGGCAATGGGCCCCAAAAAAATAAAAATGGGACGCCATCCGGAATGTTGTCGGGGACCAAATGGGTCCAAATAATAAAAATCGAAAAACGGGACGCGCGCCGGCGGGACCGCCAGCGGGACAAAGAAATAGAGCTAGCATGAAGGAAAATGACGGGGACTTGGGATGTCCCAAAGGAACCATGAGTAAACACAAGGAATAATTGTGCAAGCAAACGGCACCGTCGAGATCGCGGATCTAGACGGTGGAAAATATTAGCACCACTAGTGCAAGCACTAGTGGGAGCAAGTGGGGTAGCAATGGGAGAAAGAAAAGTGAAATAAGGGTGTTATGAAGGCTGCCTAGTAGTCCGGGATATCTCGGACTAGCAAGGCATAAGAAAATAGAGCCTTGAGAGGCCCAACATGAGAAAAAGGCTGCCCTTAGAAAATCGGAGCAAAAGGGGCTCAAAATTGGGGAAACGGGAGCAAAATGGAGCCCCCTAGAGGCATGGGGGTGCCATTATGGGAATCCGAGATGTAACGACTATGTAACAACCATGAACCTGGCCTTGAATGAGGCCGTAGGGCCTAGAAAGAGGATGCACAACAGTTTGACACTTGTCACAACAGAAATAAAAGAAAAAGAAAGAAAAATGAGAGAAAAAGGAGGGAGAATAAGACAAAAGGGGAGAAAAGAGTGGAGGAGAGTGTGCCGACCTATTGGGACCTGCACAGTAGGGACTGGCAGGTCCCAACAGCGACCTCATCCCTCATAGAATGAGGGAGGGCAATCCAGATTGCAGAAGGCCATATCTCAATAAAATCTGAATTAAAAAGCTAAAAATAAGAGAAAATGTAAAAAGGAAGTGACCGGTTTTCTTTCGGGTCATGGATCTGAGATTTGATCTCATGGTAGAGAGGAACTAGCCGTTTTTTGTGGGCCAGCTCAAAACGGCTAGCTCCGGAATAAGGTGGCAGCCCAAAATGGAAAGAAACAAAAGAGGAAAAATGACAAAACAGTGCATTTGACCCCAAAAGAGAGCCAGATGCACCAAAAATTAAAAAACTGGACTTAGGGGCTCAAAATTGAAGCAAGGCCTACTAGGGGGTAGCTCGGATTATTGCTCGCCTTGGATCTCAGCCAGATCCAAGGCTGAAAATGTGCCGCCATATGGAAAAAATGCTCCGGCCTACTCAAAAGAGGCCGAAACTTGAAAAAATCAAGAAAAAGGCCCGCAAGGCCTTTTTCTTACCCAAGGGGGCAGCATTTGTGAGGCAAAAAGGAGGCTGGAGTTTGCCAAGAGGCAGTCCGAGTTGGTACCAACCACTCGGACTGCATGTACTTGGCCAAAATGAGGCCCAGGTACCTCCATGAGTTCCTAGTAAGGGAATTTTGCCTTTAGGGTACCTCGGTTCACCTCAAGGCTCATGTGGAGGTTCATGGGCTGGCCGAACTGCTGGTTTCAGCCTACATAAGGTGAGGATGCAGTCCGACAATCTCACATTTGCATGAGGAGTGCCCATGCTGCCCAAGTGAGCCCACAGAAGCATCTTTGCACTTGGAGTGAGCAGGGAGGAGCCCATGCTAGTGGAAGAGCTTAGATGAGACTAGGATGTAGTGGAGAGGACTCTAGAGGATAGTGATGGTGGGAGAGACACTTGGAAGGTGATCCGCCATATCCCTTCTGGGTGTAGGGGTGGAGGAGAGGCTAGAGGAGCCCCATTAGCCCTCCTAGAGGAGAGGACTCCATAGCCATAGCTGGGGGGGGCTGCCATAGCGTGAGAGAAAGCAAGGGAAGAGGAGAAAAGGGCTTGGAGAATAAGGAAGTTATAGCCAAGAGAGCATTGTGCAAGGAGAGGAAGCTTCATCAAGAGCAGACCAACACCAAGGAATCAACAAGGTGAGAGGAAGGAAGAGACTTCTTCACCTTCATCTTCTTCTTCTTCTTCTTCTTCTTTTTCTTCTTCTTCTTCTTCTTATTCCTCTTCTTCTCCTTCTTCCTCTCCACCTTCTTCTTTCTCTTCTTCCTCCTCACTCCCTCCTTCTCACTCCTCTTCTCTTCCCTCTTCATCTCCTCCTTCCCCCTCCTTACTTTCATTATTTTTGTCTCCCTCCGCTTCTTCACCATCTCCATCTTTCTCATCTCTCTCTCATTCTCCTCCATCTCCTCTTACTTCACCTTCTCTCCTCCATGGACTACTCAAACTCTTCTCTTTCATTTACGCATTAGGAGGTAGTACTCCGATTCTTTCCTCGATGCTTCTTGATGCAATCTTGGTGATTTGGGCTCTCCAAACTTGTGTTTTCCACACTCACACTAGTAGGTTATGTAGCGCTTCACACATGGATGCTTCTTGATACAATCTTTGTGATTTGGGAGCCCCAAACTTGTGTTTTTCACACTCACACTAGTAGGTAGTATAGTGCTGCACCCATGGATGCTTCTTGATGCACTCTTGGTGATATAGTGCTGCACCCATGGATGCTTCTTGATGCAATCTTGGTGATTTTAACACTCACACTAGTAGGTAGTATACCGCTGCACCCATGGATGATTCTTAATGCAATCTTGGTGATTTGGGTTATCCAAACTTGCGATTTTCACACTCACACTAGTAGGTAGTATAGCTCTTCACACATGGATGCTACTTGATGCAATCTTGGTGATTTGGGAGCTCCAGATTTGTGATTTTCACACTCACACTAGTAGGTAGTTCAGCGCTGCACCCATGAATGATTCTTGATGCAATCTTGGTGATTTTGGCTCTCCAAGCTAGCGATTTTCACACTCACAATAGTAGGTTGTATAGCGCTGCACCCATGGATGCTTCTTGATGCAATTTTGGTGATTTGGGAGCTTCAAACCTGTGATTTTCACACTCACACTAGTAGGTAGTATAGTGCTGCGCCCATGGATGATTCTTGATGCAATCTTCGTGATTTGGAAGCTTCAAACTTGTGGTTTTAACACTCACACTAGTAGGTAATATAGCGCTTCATACATGGATGCTTCTTGATGCAATCTTGGTGATTTCGGCTCTCCAAACTTGTGTTTTTCACACTTACATTAGTAGGTAGTGTAGCGCTTCACACATGGATGCTTCTTGATGCAATCTTGGTGATTTGGGAGCTTTAAACTTGTGATTTTCACACTCACACTAGTAGGTAGTACAACGCTTCACA